ACTTGTTAAGCCTTTTGTCAAATTTCTTAGACAAATTTGAGTACTCATGCCAGTCCGACTGATCTTGGGTCAACATAGCTTTTTTATATGCATATGTTTTGCGTACGAAAAGGGTGTTGAGATGAGCAGGCAAATTTCCTGCAGTGACTGGGACTTTTTTAAATGGAACAAACAATTGGATAGTGTGACTTAAAACAAAAATGAACAGCTCGTACATTTCGTTTGTCCTTACAGCAGCTGAAAGAACCTATCCAATCAACGTCAGATAGATAGACCCACACCTGGCTATATGGGGCATTTTTAAATCTCTCTTCAAAACTTGCTTGAAAACATTTTCCGAAGCATTGAGGCTAAAATTGATGGTGGCATGATCACTACTACCCAGCGGGGGACCGATGAATATATCTTGTACGAAGCCCTTAGTGTTGCAAAGAACCAAATCAAGCAGACTCGTTTTAGAGTATAGCAACCTACAGATTGGGTATATTTATGAGAGCGAAGCATTTAGCAGAAGGCGTACTATTCCAAGTAATATCGGGGAAATTGAAGTCACCCACCAGAAGACATGCAGAGTGACAAATAGAGAGATCACTTAAACATTTCACCATTTGCTCAGTATTAGCTGCGTTACACTTGGGAGTTCTATAAACTAGAATCAAACGACAAGTTAATTCCCATGCATAAATATCAGCAGCCACAATCTCATATCCGTCTGACACGCTTTCCGCAAAAACTTTCGTGGGAAAAAGGGATTGCTTTATTAAACAACGGTCTCCTAGAAAAGACTCTATCGTGCTTTTAGACTTGTGCCAGGTCTCCGCAATTGCAATAATTCCGTAATCAAATTTCGACAGAGTAAGCTAACGAGCTAAAATTTTTTTGAAAGGATCGAATGTTGGTCACGAGACAAGAAATTTTCTTCCGAGGAAAAGCTAATTGCTTCCCTGAACGTGGAGAGGAGAATGTTGAGAGTGTTGAGAGACTGAGCGATTCATAGGTGTGACACGAGGAGTAGAAACAACGTCAACATTATTGGAGGCAATATCAGCTTGTTTCTTTTACTCCATCCGAAGGGCCCTAAGACGGTCACTCTCAGCTTTCGGGAGGGAAGGACGGATATACACTCCCGGAATCTGAAAAGCTCTAGGTCTTGGGGCCCTTGAGAGGAGAAGATTTTTAAAAAAACGTATTTGGCAGGACAATTTTGATCAAACGTGGAATGTGTTCATTGGGTTTTCCCATTCTATAAAAGGAAACGGGCGAACATTCAATAGATAGTCAACAAGTCGAACAACGTTCAAATAATCAGAATATGTGCCGTTCGCTTAAGTGCTTAAGGTTCTTTACTTTCTACAATGCCGGCGACTACCACAGACTTGAGCCTTTCTCTTTCTTCACAACAGTGGAACGAAGTCACATTAGAATCAGGAAGAGGTCTGGTGGCCTCAATTTCTTTCAAAAGTTGATTTCACAGGTAAGACGTTCTTCGAGTTCCTTATTTCTTACTACCAGCTGATCCACAAAAGAAACTTTCTCCAAAAGATGACCGAGCACAGTTTTCAGATGAGGAGGGAGCCTATCGTCGCTGACGAGTAAGTTCACTGCATCATGAAGGGCTCCCCCATCGGTACCAGGAGATGCAGTTCGATTTCTCTTGACGCCCTGAATCGGTAAAGACGAAAGAGGAGTATCCATAAAAAATTTCAATTACAAAAAGTTGATCCAATGCACCGTTAGAGGTGGCAACCGAGAAAAATTGCTGATCTTTGCCACTAAGATCAAAATTGATCGAGAGACCCGCCAGGACACAATCGATTAGGGCCGCCGGTGCACAGGACAAGTGTGGTGAAAAACGAAAATAAGTAAATACACCTGTCAGGGTGGCTTTGAATAAAATCAGAAGAATTGCGACCCCGCCACAAGGGTACCGACAGACAAATCCGTGGAAAAGTAGGAAGATAAAGTTGAACAGAAAGTAGGCGAAAAACGCACAATGTGTGGCAAGACGAACGACACCGATGGCCGCACCGACCGCTCAGCGCCGAGACAAGTCGATGATGACCCCCCCCCCTCTAGGCAAGTTTCTAGTCGGTTTCATCTTCTTAAGAAAAAATTCGATAGAAATCCAGCCCATTCTCGACAAAGTGGGGCAGTAAGGGGTAAATAGTGCCTATCCGTTTCGACTTAGACTTTAGGTAGGCAGGTAGGCGTAGCTGTCGTAGGATCAGAATAGAAGACGTAGATTACATTCTTCATCAACCTTCGAGATGCAGTAACTGTTCCGTCGGAACGACGAAAGATTTCCTATGTCCACTACTACAAGAAAATATCGATTAATTCTGGTATTAAGTTGTTTCCGGTGGAGACCCAAGAATCCCATTGTAGAACAGACCCTACAAAGCAGCACTAAGGCGGCATTCACAGTCCGGAAATAAGAGCAGTCATGAGAACGGTTGACCATCGATCCCCGCAAGCTCTGTGATTTTCCTTCGATCAGGTCTTTACAAAGCGTAATTATTCCGATAAACAAAAACAGTCACACAATAAAGTTAATTTTTAATAACATCTGTGTTGTAACAATTAACAAAAAACGATACAAAACAGAGGAATACAAACTAGTGAAGTTAATTCATTGCGGTTTTCGTGTTTCATACGTACTACGTACGTCGTCTCTGTCAATTCCTCCAAATTCAACTATCGTAGCTGAAGAGAAAGGTGGCGTGATGTCATCCAGAAGTTGCATGAGAAATCTGAGTTTGAACCGTTTCTTAGGTCAGCACTTCAACAAAGGGTGCAAAGATTACCGTAGATCAGGAGCTGATGTTCTGCCTTCAACATATATGGAATGAATTTTGTCTCTTGTCTGATGGTTGCTACCAGCTATTATCACTGTGAAATTATCCTGTCCCTGAAACACAACTTTCCAATCATCATCTTCATCTTTCATCTTTTACTGATTCTTGTGTCAACAACCTGCGACAATCCTTTCGAGGCGAATCGGAACAGTTGAACGGATGGCAGCCCAGCTTCGAGAAGAGAACGAGCTAATTCTCCGGAAGCATATTTTGTATCGTGACAAGGTGTGTATGCAATGATTGCCATAGATTCTAACTTCATCCTCCTGAGATCAAGAATTTTTCAGAAAAAGTGGTTTGGGTCTAAGGGAAAGCATTTTTTATGGATAAGCTGCTAGCTCCATTCTATCCGAAGTGAGTAAGGAACTCACTTGTACAACTGTGCAAGTAATGCGATGACCGTCTTTGACTCGTTGTCAAAACTGACAGCAGGATCTACGATGCTCCAGTCCCAGATAAGAGTTTTCACACGTGGGAATCTCAAAAAAGTTAGAGAGTATATCAAAAAGAGGTAGGGTGTCGAATGTGGACATTTCTCACTTTGTCTCGATACAGGAAATTAAATGCTGAGCATCTCCATCGTATGAATAATCAAGCTCTTGGGCAACCAAAGTTCGTACAGTGACAAAAATCGCGTTGCATTTCTAAATCAAACTGTAAAATAGAATATAAATAATAAATCTAAATCCCTAATTTCTCAGTCAGAAATGCGTAGTAGAATGCCGGAGCCACGATCAAATGATTTCTGAACTGTAGCTCCATACAATGAAAGGCCTTCACAATCAATCATCCGCCCTCATGACTGCTCGAACTTTCGGGATTTTTATCAGATCTTGCAATGCCGAATTATTGCAGCACTGTAAGATCTGATAATGGAATTTTTGTGTTTGCACCAAAAATAACTAAATACCAAAATCAATCGATATTTTCTGTAATAATATCTTTTTAGCTTTTGGAGAGACTTGAGCTTTGATTTTTGAGCCTATTTCGATATATAAGAAACCTTTCGTCATCCTGACGGAACAATTACTGCAACTCGAAGGGCAATGACCTCTACGACCTCTATTCTGATCTCTACGACAGCTACGTCTACCTGTCTACATACCATGTAAGGCAAAACGGATATGTCGTCTCTTCCATTCTCCCTTCCACAGTTCGACTTGGTGGGATCGAACCAGAACATATAAAGAGCCTTCCGTTCATTGTCAAACCCTGGCTCGGCTCTTCACGCGGTTCCTATCGGAATGCCAAGTGCCCACTTCGTGGAAAACTAGCAAGATTGTGTTGCTGTACAATAAGAGAGATCCAGACAATATTGGCAATTATCGCCCAATCTGCTCTACAAATTATTCACACGCGTCATCCTCAACAGAATCGGCAGTATTAACACTTTCGCGACGGGCGCGAAGTTTGCGAATGCGTCCTCCACGGACGGGCGCCTTCGCTACACCAGCGGTGGCAGCCCATAAGGGCTTCCAGAAAACGCGCAGAGTATGGACGACGACGAACTTGATGCGAGTTTCAACGCTTCATTGCTCCATTGACGAGGAGGTGAAAGAGTCTGCAGTGGAGTGGATGAAAGAGACGACGGTGTCCTTCTTGTCTATGATGATGTGGAAGAATCGGATGACGACGCACCAGAAGGACGAGTTGTTGATAAGGACAGCTGTCTACTGTTGTGAAGGAGCTTTCCCCATTCTTACTTCACAGGAATCTGTTATTGTAGGGATTGATGAAATTACCTGCTGCGAGCTTCTTAATTTCTTAATTTTGCTGAACGACGAGTTGCTCGCTTTTATTGTGCGGGGAACCAATCAGTAGACTCATCAAATGGGGGGAAGTTCAGGGAAATGGATGCACAAGAGGTGATGCACTTTCTAGGATTGCGCTTTTATAATATACCAGGCGGCTACGCACGCTATCGCGGGCGTTAGGGGCTCTAGCCATGAGAAACGGAGCCACATAAGCTGATTTTCTTCGTAGACCTTTATCGGATTTATGAGATTCCGCTCAAACCCTGCCTCCTGTAGGCGGAGTCTGGTCCTCCCACCCACCATAAGTGTTTCCATCCTGTCAACTGTACTCCTACCGAGTTTGAACTTTCTAGGTCATGGGGTCAGGAGTTATGAATTTTCGCCCGAACCCCGCCCCTTGTGGGCGGAGTCTGGTTCTGCTACCCACCATAAGTTTTCCCATCATGCCGCCTGTACTCCTACAAAATTTGAAATCTCTAGGTTCATGGGAACCGTTGTTATGCATTTTCGTACATATTATAAATGTAAGAACGGATGTGAGCTTCGAGGCACGCTCCGCCAATTGTGAGCGGGCCTCCGCTGACGTCATTCATGCTGCCAGACACCTTCGACAACGCTTCTCCCACATCAGCTTTCCTGCTCTGTTGGCTTTCTCCAAACCGAGTTATAAATGTTTTCATAAAGCATCGCATCCTCGGAGAACGCCCCGCTCATCGGAGGGTGGGTCTCCCTACCTGGATCTAAATTACCAATGCACAGCTCTAGCCACCTTTACACCCCAGTTTTGAAGCCGTCTCGTGACTGGATTTTAAATCGTGGTCCTCAGTACAGCTCATTTCTATGCACGCCACGCCCACCGTGGGCGGGCAGGCCAACCCATCCCACGCTTGACCCGGTTTCTCCAGGCAGATCTAGCTAAGGAATTTCGTGACAGACATACAGACAGACAGACGACAGACAGACGACAGACGAAGCGCTTTATAGTAAGTAGGATGAGGTTTAACTTAAACTCAGTGGGAATATAGATAGCATCGACATAATAAAAACCGCTTTATTTTGGAATAGAAACATGTAAAAGATCAAAAACTTCGATATTTGGTAGGAAGGCCTCGATTTTTGATGATAGCATCGCAATGGGAAGACATCGAGTCGATCAGTTTTTGAATGGTGGACACCTGCATGGCGTTCCCTTCCTCGTTTATTAAGCGGATTTTTCTTCGCTGTTTTCATAACGTTTGCTCGAAAAACGTCTTTTGAGCTCTTCCCACATGTGCTCTAATGGTTTGGTTTCAGATTCCACGACTGGCTGGACCTCTCCAGAAGTATGGTTCGCTGTTCGCTGAAGGCCCGCCTTCACAACTATTGAGACGTGTTTCGGATCATTACCCTGCTGCAGGATTGATCCTGCTGGCATGTGATGCTGTGCCCATGGCAAGACGATGTAGACCGTTATGTTTTTTTACTACTCCCCTCTCATCGTGACGTCGAATTTTCAAAATAGGACCTATTCCGTTCGAGGAAAAGGCACCGCATACCATCACAATTCCTCCACTATGCTCAGTTGTGGGTGAGGTGTATTTACATTGAACCTTCCCTCAGATGGACGTCGCCTGCAGCGTAAACCATCGCTTCCCAACTAATTGAACTTGCGCCGATCTATAGAAGGAACTCTACTGCATTCAGTCGACGTCCAGTTGAGGTGACAGGGCGCAAACTCCACTCTAGCTCTCCTACTTTCTGAAATGATGAACGGTCTTTTGGTCGGACGCCTCCCATAAATACCAGCACTGTTTAGGGGTCTTCCTTCAGTCTGCCGGCAAGCAATGTTGCTACCGCTAACACTGAACTCAGCGGCAATGCCGGCTGTACTGAGACGAGGGTCAGAACTCAATCGAAGTGTGGTTCGTCTGCCCTGAGCTGACAAAGCACATCAGAGTCTTTCCGTTCTCTAAGCATTGCAAACAGAATTTCTGGCCTGCTGGCATGGGATAATCGAAGAAATCGTCTGCCGTGGGTCCTTTAGAATTCTTGAAGTGACCGTAACTTCCATGCCCGCTGCTGCGAGCCGAATTCTCTGAGTGACTATGCATGAGTGTACAAGTAATGACGTCGAACACAAAAGCGATGCAAAGAATGCAATTGCCGCTAACCTCGCATTCAGGAAAAATCGCTTCTGTAGTAGAACCTCTGCGCGTAGTTATCTAATCTCCCCTTTTGAAGTCAAAAAGTATAACTGGTTCGGTTCAAGGTGAGGTTTGAGATATCAAAATTTTTCTCGAATCCCTCTACTAGGAAGAAAGTTACGATTGGAAAAGCGTTTCATCGAAGACCTTTGGTTGCTACTGTAAGTGGTAATAATCGATTTCTCTCGGATTACTCTGCATGTTGAATTTGGATGTTGATTCACATTAAATTCGGGTTCAGTAATTATTCTTTTCATGTTGCAAAGAATTCTGCTTACTTTCGAAATATCCGAAAGTCCCCTATTACCATGCAGAAAAACCTGAGAAGGGTACTGCAATTATCGTTAAAGTTTGACTGGAAGTCGAGGTATTCGACAGAAGTTGGAAATTAAAGTTACAGAATCAGTTTCCCCACAAGTTGGGAACATCAATATTGCTTAAGGATAGTATTATTTCAAATGCTTCTTTCTTAGAAGTCTTCTGGGAAACTCAGAATCAAACCCCATCGAAATTGTCTTCAAAGGTCACGATAAAAATGGTTTCTAAGTTCTCCCCCTAAGAATACTCAGTGGCCCCAAGGGTAACCGGAAGGATACTGTCGGGCTCGAAAGCTTAACACTTTCTCCTCAAGAGGCTGGAAAAGGTGGGCCATCTTTGCTGTTACTAGGGGCTTTGTTAACTCATGCTTCTGAAAGAACGAGTTTTAAAGGACATTTCTGCTTACTGTAGTCAGCTATTCGCATCAGGACCCACACGTACGCGGTGAAACACATTGTATAGCTCGTCCAAACGCTCCTTCTTTTTCATTTTTCTGATCTCGTTCTCGTTCAACCCCCTTTTTAACGATTTTTCGAAGCCTTTTTTCTGTTTGGAAACACAGATTCACGCATTTTCTTCGCCCTCATCGCACTATTTTCCACATTATCTTCCATTTTTCGTCATAATCTCGACTACCCGAGATTATCGTGAACTGTGCCTTTGAAGGCTTGTAATAGAATTGGCAGTATGCTCTTAATCTCACTCTTTCTACCAAATTTCAAAACATAACAACATACAAACAAAAAGTGTCTACGTTACCTTGATTGTTTCGACCTTGATACCGGGAGCACCTGAGAGTTTAACTAGCTCCACATTCAATTTCTCCAAAACATCAAGTATATCGTTACTCATGTCCACCGCACGAACACTCAGCCGTGATAGTTCAGAGGATAAAAGAGTCCAGCCTTTTTTCGTGAAGCGAGTATCAGAAAATGAGAATGCAGCCAATAGCTCAAGTCTAGATCATAAAATTAGAATTCAGTGCACTACGGGCTTCGCATGAACAAATACCTACTTTTGCAAGATGAAAAGCAAATCGTGAACATCAATGTCAGTCGTGTCCAGGGAGAGTAGTTTCAACCTTGAAAGGAACTCTTTTACCTGTAAGAGAGAAATTTCATTGGGAACTGTGAGCAACGTCTTCATACCTGACTTTCAGAGATTTGTTTGAGCATTCCTATCAATTGTGGCAACGGATTTCTTGAATCTGTCAGTTCTAACACAGTAGGGCGTAGGTTCATAACGGATTCCCATCGCACATCCACTAACTCTCCAGACTCATTCGATATACCTGCAAGGCGTTCTGGCTTCACTCATCTTTTATTACCATCATGAAATGGATCAATCGAAGGAACCTATGCGGGAGCGTAATTACATCTGAGGTCTGCCTCCAGTACTTGGACTTTCTAATTTGTCCAACTTCTACGGCCTCTAAAGCTATTCGATAAAGATCAACAAGATAAAGATCGGCCGTTCGCAGACAACCCCTGACCGTTCCAAAACATGTCAGGGTGGAAGCATGTACATATATGTAGAAAACAAAGTCAGAAGATTAGATTTATCCGCCCAATATCGCATTAAAGATATTCCCATAAACATATTTTTGAACCGAAGAGACAGCCAAAAAATTCGGTATTTTGTGCAGCTTGACGAAAACCAAGTAAGTCGAATGGTCTGCGTCGATGAAGTAAGGTTCCGTAAAAAAAAACTAGAAAAAAATACCATGAAGTTTCTGCATCAGAACGCAAGATCAAAAATTGGCAAAATTACTCAGATGTTGAAAAGTCACTCGCTCGTCATACATGCTTGATTTCGCACCAGACTAATGAAGCATTAACCAGCAGAAAATGACCGAAACCGTTTCCGATTCTGAATACCATCATCTTCAACGCAAACCACTGCGAGGGTGGTAAAACGTGTTCTCTACAAAGAAAGCGGCACAGGATGGCAAAAAAAAAAAAACGAGAGAACAACCTCCATGTTCGCCTTCCTTGAAATTTTGACATTTATATATAGTATTCAAAGCTTTTATATCTAACACATTTTTGATGATGGATCATTTATGGTGCCCAACATTTCGACAAGTTCTTCGTTCTCAGAGAGCTGAAAGGTTTCGATACTTTTGGAGGGTTACCTAGCCCAAGTGATAGCATAGCTAGTCGCAACTCCGACCAAAAAACTTCACACCAAGAAGGAAGCCTAACACATTACATTTCAATTCCAAAAATATCGAGTGGTTGCTCAACTTCGAGGATGACAGAGCAAATGAGACTGTCCCATGCATCAAGGCTCACTATCAAAGCTTATATTAGGAAACTAGAGATGTAAAGCAGGAAAAGTTTATAGTTTACAGGCAGCAGGCAAATTGGGTGATAATTACCAATGTCCCGGATCTCCCTTCTTATTCAACAACACGGCCTTTCTAGCTTTTCACGCAGTGGGCATTTTGCATTCCGACAAGTAACGCGCGGGGAGCCGGATCACGCTTTTGAAAAAAACTGGCGGAACGCTCTGCTGATCCTCTCGGGACCGGACGCCGTGCCATTCCTCACCGACATGAAGGCATGTAGTATTTCGAAAGGGAGACCGTAAGGGACGACTTATCCGTCTTGCCTAAGATGGCAGGTAGGCAGGTAGAAGTGGCCGTCCAAGAGATCAGAGTGGAAGTCGTAGATGATCCTCTCCATTGCTCTTCGAGAGGCAGCAACTGTTCCGTCCGGACACAAAGGAAAGTCATTTTGTTCTTATAATTGACGCAGCTCCAGTGGGCTCTGCAAATGCTCTTTCCAGACTCGGTGGCTTCGGTCAAAACTGCTGCTCTTCTCTACTCTCAGATCTTCCTTTATCACTTATTTGCACAGCTTCGAAAGTTCGTACGTTAGCTGGTTATTGCCCACAGGTCGCGCAATTTCTCGCTGGTGTATTAGCTCAAGAGTCTTAGAAGAAAAAAAGTTCTTGGCATTTTTGACACTCTTTGCTTCTTTGGCGCTAACGCGAATATATTCGACGAATCGGTCGTATTCTTGATGTTGGCGCTAATGGTATCATCTCAGGAATTCGCCAGTAAAGCAAAGTGGTCCCGGTTGACAACAGTCTCGAGGCTTCGTTTCCTGAACTACGCAGCTCTCTCTCCACGTACTAAAAAGCGGAATCTGCCACGGAGGAGACGATGGTCTGATCCCGTGAAGAACTCGGAGCAACAGCGACGTCATTCAGGCAAAATTCCGATTGACGATGATGTGATCTATGTCATTATGGAACTACCCACCATGTGTTTGCTGATTACCAAAGGAAGATTGTATTAGGGACGCGCAACAAAGGTTCATTACGATGTTTAGTATGAAGATCGACCGTAATAATACTTTCACGGGCTTACACAATATGTGGCGGTCCTCAGATACCGTATCGCCCCTGTACCTTAGGGGGCCCGTGCTCGGGGATGAAAGAGCGAACCGCGCCAACGGCAGAAACTAGGTTACCTACTTGATTGCACACTTATGATACCGCCAGGTCACGACTTTCAAGAGATACTCATATCAACTTATGCCTAAGGTTAATATGTTGAACTAGCATGTTACCACTCATTCTGTAAAGGCTGGTTCTATTATAAACATAGTTATAGTTGTGAAACCACAACAATGCGGCGGGGAGAAAAGTAGCGGTAGCTACAAAGATGTTGTCAACAAAGAGCTAGGCAAGGTTTATTGTGTTAAATTGCATTTACAATATCAAGGGTCCATTCATTATCAATAACATATTATAGTTCTAAGGAATGGGTTACATGGCGTTACAATTGCGTTTATCAACAACAATACATAGATATAAAATAAAACAACTAAAATTACAGTTCATTTAGTGAATACAGTGACATCATTTACATATGCCCTTTCATCTTATAGGCTGTCGACGTGGCTGGCTTCCATGCGAAGCTTGCTTCTGCATTCGGACGCCTGATGTCCTACCACGTAACATACTTCACAATAGCGTGTGGGTGCTACGGCCGGACACTAAGCATCGACTGAAGGTGCCATCACTTTCAGAGTACCTTGTTGCAGCAAGCTTTCCGTGGTAGTGGTTCTCTCATCAGTTCGTCGAAGTCGGTCTTCAATGCGATCCTGCTTTTGTGAGATCGTTTGAATCCATGATGGCGTAGAAAATATCGCGAGGATTTTCGTTCGACACTACATTCTTGTCATCTTGCGATACCAAAAGAGGACGCAGAGTGATTTTTGGTTTCACAAAGCCTGCTTTCCTTTTCTGGGGCGGTGTGAAGGGTGACTTCGAACTACGCTTTAGTCGAAGATTCTTGACAGGACGAATTTGAATATTAGCCAGCATGGTCTGGTAAACCAATGAACTTTACTCTACACGTGCAATAGTTTATTACGACGTGTAAAGTGACCGACCGATGCACCAATTTGGTGGATTAGCAGAGGAACATTGTACTAGGGAGGTGCAACAAAGGTTTATTACGACGTTTAGTACAAAGGTCGACCATAATAATAAATACATTCGCGGGGTTTATATGCACAACATGTGGGCGGTCCCCAGATACCGTATCGCCACTGGACTTTAGGGGGGCCCGTGGCGTTAATCAAGCTCGAGGATGAAAGAGTGGACCGCGCCAATGGCAGAACCTAGGTTACCTACTTGACTGCACTCTAACGATACCGCCAGGTCATGCCTGTGATCTCATCTCAAGAGATACTCATATCAAGTCATGCCTAAGGTTAATATGTTGAACTAGTATGTTATCACTCATTCTTGTAAAGGCTACTTCTATTATAAACATAGATATGGTTGTGAATCCACAACAAGGTGGCTCCCATGTCCATCGGAAATGAGAGGCCTTCATAACCAAGTGCGTGTTGGCGAGGCCTGCACCGCCGACGCCTCTGCTATCGCATGATTCAAAGAACAGTTCTTCTCATTTTTCAAAAATGGTGTGCAACGGCTGGTGCCTCCTTTTCTCGATCAGTCAGATGACGTCGTGCTTGATCTTCCTGGCTTGCATTCAGATCTTCGGAGCACGCTTCCGATGCAAGCGGTCGTGCAATGAAAGTACGGATCACCATCTTAACCTTTCTCCTTTTAGACAGCCTATCATGGCCTTGAGATTTTGGCGTCCTCTTCCGAGCGGTCCTACGAAAGCTGTCGTATTGGGGTCCTTCAAATTCCGGGAGATCAAGCCCATTTTTATTTCTGTCTTCAGCATATGAATATGCACTTGAAGCTTGCCACGCTGACACATTGGGCCCACTCAACCGTGCGGACATGCAGATGTGCCATTTACGTTATACACACATATTTTTATATAAGTAATATTGAAGAGGATAACATAGCTCCAACGTAAAATTATCGAGCAGTAGAAAACGTTGGCGAGAGCTTTCAGACCAATCAAGCCGACATCTGATGGTAAAGACGAAAGCATGTGGCAAGGTAACGGTGGGAAAAGGGCACTCGATGTAATCCAATCTCATGTACACCCTTCCGCTTCAACGTCTCTACTCGACGATGAAACGTATGAAGACATCAAGTAAAGGTTCATCTCAGCTGTCCTTGCAAATATGGGTAAATTCTATCTGGATCGTTGATGTAATGATGAACAAGTTCTTTACTTGCCTATTGGCCGAATTAGAAGTATTAATCAGTCCTCAAGATATTCTGGGACCCGAGCGGCCCAATCTAGAGAACCGGGGCAGAACAGCCATATTATTGGTCTGCCTTATCTACACCGACGGTATAAAAGCATTAATTACTGCACCCTGCCAAATTTCAACCGTTTCTAGTCCAACAGTGACCGTTTCAGTTCATAAATGGCTAAGTCTGTGAAAAACAGTCAGGAACCCCTGATAAACCCATCATTTTAATCCCATGCTCATTTAGTGAATGCTATAAAAGGAATTTAACGAATTAGGTGTTGAGCTGAGAAATACAACAAGTTTTCCACTCTTTTTTGTTACCCTACAGCAACTTTCTCTGGCACTAGGCAAGGCCTGATAAGAATTCGCTCTGAAAATTGTTTTCCAAAAAGGATTAAACTCAGGAAGAAACTGAAGTCCTACCGTAATCCCAATTTTGCTTCACTTCACTGCTGCCGTAAAATATCACATATTAACCGCATCATAGCCACGTGCAACACATCTCATTCCATTTGCGCGCGGGAAATTGCGCGGCGAAGTTCGTGGAGAATTTGGACGACTCTGGCGCCTATAATTGAGGCCCAAATCTGAAGTAAGGTAGATTAGTAAGGTCAGCTGATCCTACTATTCTACTGTACTTCGAAATTGGGCCCAAATAATAAGCGCTAAAGTCGTCAGATAGTTATGGGTTCTGCCGCGCAATTTGCCGCGCGCACCCTCGGACGCACGACTTGACCGTCCCCCCGATGTTCCAGTTGCCGCTTTACCTACTACTAACTGTTAGGGTAAGAGTTCTGGATTTTTGTTTTTGTGATTTTAACAACACGATGAAAAACCGAGGGAATTGGCAAGCCTGGTGTGCATCAGATCACCATGACAAACATTTGGGGAAGAGCGTGGGGAGGAGGGTGTGCTTTGAGGTATAAACGGTGACCACTACTCAGTTGAAATGAGAAATCCTTTTTTAAACATTATAAAAGGTGAATTATTGAAAATGTTCTAGTTGAAAAGCTTGCCTTGCACGTTCTGACCAAATTTTGATGGATGCTTCACCCGTAACACGACATTCCGAATATTTTCCACATAACTGCCACTTCTTTGCATCCATACAACAATAGGTTCCGATGAGAAAGAACTCTGGTCCAACTCCTGGATACAAAAGGAAACCTAGAGAATAATTTCTATTTGTTAGAAGAAGGTTTGACTCACCTCATCATGCCTGTCGCTTTCTGTGATCATACTTTTTGTGAGGGACTTTAGTGGGAGTCTCCGCTTTTCGCGGCCAACTTAGCAATAAAAATACGAGAACAAAGACCTCCGGAAAGTACGGAAAACCACTTATGTTCACGTCGCGCTCGAAGTCTTGCGGTGTCGCGCACGGCGACATTTTGAAGCGGCGCGAAGTGCGAATTGTTTTGCTGTTTGCGGTTCATTTTTATACAGGGAATTCCTGAGAGAATTCACGCGTATGCCTATTGCTTCGGGTTCATGCTTCATGCCCGGCCGAGTTTCATCATTTTGTTTATTTCCCGTCTTGTCTCTTTGCCATGATTTAGGTTTTCTTAGTATAGCTCATACACGGCCTAAAGCAGTGAAGCCATAAATTATAGTATCATTGCTTGAAAATGACGTCATCTTGCTGAATAGCTGTTGTAGGGTCATGAGCAAAGTTTTGACCGAAGAGGAGAAAAGGAGGATAGCGGCCAACCGAGCAGAAGCCCTGCGGAGAGCTGAGGAGCGCAAGAAGCGGGAGGCTCTTGCCGCTGCTGCTGCTGCTGCTGCTCAGGTAGGAAATTCGACTTCCAATCATTCTTTGCGTTTAACAGAGTTTTTATCTGTGTTCCTGCATTACTAGGGTTTGGGAAATTCCGACTTCAAGCGACTTTCGAAGTCGGGTAGTAGGCATTCTTGAAAGTTACCAAAAGGACACACACTTGCCTCAAGGTCGCACAATTTTCTCAAATCAACCCTTATCCTTGTAGGTAGTCTGGTTTAATGAACTCAGGAGGGCGTATCCGTAATCTCTTTTAGGTACTTGTCAATGCAAAGGGCAGGCAGCATAAGGATTTCTGGATCAAGCTATTGTAGATTATTCTATTCTTCTTAGCCTTTGGGAGTATAGTATGGCCTTTATTGTTCGAAGGGCAACTTTATGTTTATAATGTCTCTAACTGCAAACTGGGGACTGGCTATTTATAAACGACGAAATGAAATGTGGCTTGTACCGTGTGGCTGTAAATGCACAGCTTATTTTTGTTGTTTTGAAAATGAGTCGTTTACTGTAGCCTGAATTACTCTACTAAAAGATTTAACTAATTGTTTACAATTGAACGTGAAGTAATCACTGCTCTCAATTTGGAATGATTACAGAAGGTGCCAAGCGCTCCACAGCAATTATCTCGTCCTGTCACTCATGTATGTTTTGTTTGTACTCATTTCTTTTAATTTCTGAACCCGTCTTTGAAAGAATAGTTCTGTGTTACGTTTTGTCTTTCCGAGTGAGAGAATATTTTATGGAGCAAGAGCGTTTGCTATCTCTCTGTATTCTCTTACATTTGAAATTCGACTTGGTAGTTACCTCGGATCAAATAAGCTGTTTCAGCATGTGTTGAGCGCCGTGCAGCTTCCAACTAATCCGGTAAAGGTACGTTTCTCTCATTTTCGAATTTCCCAGCGTTTTATCCGTTGTTCCTTTTTTCCAATGTTCACTCTTTTCTTCACATTAAGGTCAGAACAAAACTCGACAAAGACAAAAAGGGTTTTCTCGACTAAAAGGGTTTTTGATTAAGGAGTTAACCTTACCTTTTTTATAGCATTAATTAAGAAAAAAATCTTCTTTCACCGTTATCGCCACTCGTTTTCAGAATTGTTCATTATAGAACACACCGTCCATTCCACAGTATACCTCCCATCCAAGCACATCTACAGTAAGTTTCACATCGTCTTCAATTGTGTTCGTATGTACCCTCGTTTCATTTCGCTTATATTTTTGTGTTTCTCTTCCTCATGCACTTTATTCTCCATAAGGGTTGTAATTTTGTAACTTTTACGTACTTCACGTAATTGATACTTAATTTTCCCCGGTGCTACACATGTTCTTTGTTAAGCATGCGCCATCCATCACTGCTCCATCAGTTACGCAATTCAAGCCACCCACGCCTGCCAGACTACCCAAGTCCCATGTTCATGTCACCTTCAGTGTGTCAAGGAATGACAGGATCAAAGTGAGTTTCCTAAGTGTGCTTTATCTCTATCTCGTGTTACTTCTTCTTATCCGAAGTTTCATCAATTTGGACCAAATCACAATTTAGATACGTTTTTCTCCTTACCACGGTGCTGTTACCGAAGCAATCAAAACAATGCGATCACGTACTTATGATGCAAACGATCGCACATGGAGCATATCTCTTTCCGACTTGAAGGCTTGCGAAAAAACACTCAAAAACCTAACGGTAAGAAGTACGTTTGCTAGTTTCTCTGCATTATGATAAAGTAACATCTACGATCTAGACTTTTATTGTATCGGCAGTTAAGTTCTGTGAACGAAAGTATGTTCGACGTTTTATGGAGAGAGACGAAAGGATGCTTTATAAACTGTGTGAGCTTTGGAAGCAGATACTATGTGCAAAAGCTAACGTTTAAGCAACTTTTATTAAGAGTTTTGACTCCATTGTCATTCCCACCATGAAAACCTTACCATATCCTTGTGCTCAAGCCTTGTCTTGTATTCGAGACGGTAGTAGTCTCGTTATGCTTGGCGAGAAAACACGATTTCTTTATAAGTTCGTCTGCGTAACCAAATTAAAGAGTGAGACAGAATAGAGTTCCCTTCGATTATACTGTGTATCAGCATTATTCGAAGTGTTTTTTGCTAAATTTACTTGAGGTGACGCTTTCATAGGAAGAAATGTCACAGAAAAAAAAAAAAACGAAGTTGTCACATCTTCGCAGATTATCCTGTAGTCACATTTCGCAGCAGTTAGAAAGAAGTAGGCTAACCAGTTGTATAATAGTGTCTTTTAAGGAGGTGGACGTTTCAATAGAGTCGGTTCCCGATAACGTGATTAAGCTACTCACAGACGACTCATCTTTAAAACATCCCGTGCCTTCCGATTTGTCTTTGATTATGGATCCAGCCCTGATTGAATGCTTGTTTCCTTTCCAGAAAAGAGGCGTCACGTAAGTTGTGTTTGCTTTTTGTGAAATATACTGCTAGATTATACTTTTCATTGAAGTAATGCTTTCAGATTTGGTATTGAAAGAGGTGGGCGTCTTCTATTAGCCGACGAAATGGGTTTAGGAAAATCGGTTCAAGCGCTCACATTGGCACGATATTACAAGCGAGTTATATTCCTTTGTATGCTTATGAATTTCTAGGGTTTCTTAGACTTACGTATTTTTTGCTTCTTCTGACGAAGCCTGAATTAGCCACGGCATAAGGCGTCTGTGTCGAGCAACCCTGGCCGGTCTCATTTGTTTTGCGTGGTCTCATTGATCCAATAGTTACATCATTTTGATGATACTTGGTTGCACTTAGTGTGGTTGCACACCGTATCTTGGTTGGCCAATTTAAAGGATCTGGACGGGGGCACTACAGATTGGGACAAGCCTGCATACTGGAATCCTTAGCAGAGAATCAGTCCCGGATCATTGAACCAGTGAAGCAGTGGTAGCGTTATGAAAGCCGCAAAAGTTGAATTCAGATTATAATTTGATGATTTTCAAAGAGAATTTGTGCCATTGTCCTTCCCGTCTTCTCGGTGCAGTTGAAGCTAGACCAATACGGGTGAGTAATATGGGGGCAAAAAGTATGAAACGAGGGAAACATTTTGGAAAGCATGCGGCATGGTTCTTCTCAGCAGTTCAGAGGAATAGCCACAATTTTGACTCCTTTGAGCTCTTGTCGAGGAAAATGTTAATCTTAGTTCAGGAAAGTAGTTTTGCTTTGAAGCGACTTGAGCGATTTATTTTCATCTTCGTGACTTCGTTGTTAATTGCTTCACTGTTTCCAGATCAGAATGGCCTCTGTTGATCATTTGTCCTTCCTCTGTTAAAACCGCATGGAAAACGGTTAGTACCTTTGTAAGGAAGATTGTTTTAGCCTTAATCGTTGTCAACCAAATACTTCCTCCCTTTGCAGCAAATCAATAAGTTCTTACCTGCGATTCAAAAAATTTTTCTTATGGAAAAAGGTTCCGATCCTCTTCCAACGGCAAGGACGTCAAATACGGTAACGTTTTAGCGGTATCATTTGAGATCTGCTTTGTTTGACACTTCTTTCGCTCTTGGAAATGAAAACGATCCCTGATTGCAGGGGCATTTTGGCACTCAATGATTTGTTGCAGGTCGCAATTTTGAGTTATGACTTGATGGTACTAAAGAAGAAAGAACTGGAAGAAATGAATTACTGCGTTATCATTTTCGTAGGTTTTAACCCTTGAACGATTCTGGATTGTTTAGAATTATTCAATAATTTCATCATCGTGTGCAAATGAATTTACCCTTCTTATGACTGATTTTCAGGATGAATCTCATCTATTGAAAGATACGAAAGCCAAACGAACCCAGGTGGCACACGCTTTAGCGGTTTGTTCTAAATATATTCTTCGGAGCTGAGATGTACGAGGAAGTTGTTGCAATTACAGAAGCGTGCAACACGGGTAATTCTCCTTTCGGGTACTCCTGCCCTGTCTCGTCCAGCTGAATTGTTTTCTCAAGTAAGACTTGTGAACGATCGACTCTTTCCAAATTTTCAACAATTTGCTATTCGGTACTGCGATGGAAAGCAAGGACGCTTTTGTTTTGAGGTGCTTCTATTAATGCCATTGCTACTTTTATTCAACAATCACTTATAAGTACCTATCAGGCGAAAGGTTGTACCAATAGTGAGGAACTAAGCGCGATTCTTTCTAAACGAGTGATGATTCGTCGCCTTAAGAAAGATGTACTCACTGATTTGCCTGATAAGCGTAGAGAGGTACGCGAGCTGTTTTCCTCTTCATCCTTACCTCGTTATCAAACAATAGTTAGGTTTCTAGGTTGTATACTTATCGGGTGACAAGATTGACACTTGTATGGATAGCCTGAAAAAAGCGAAAATGGCGTTCGAGGCTGGTAGCGGTGCTCAGGTGATTAACCCCTGCTGAGCTTTTTGGGGCCATATGTTCTACTGGCTTTTTAGAGTTTCTCATGTTTTTTTTTCCTGTATTTTTTTTGTTCTAGAGAGATGGGCGAAATGGTAGAGGTTGTGACGATTCCTTACTGGAGTATTACAGCCTCACTGGTATAGTGAAGGTAAGTGAGAATCCCTATAACGCGTCGATTTCTTACCTAACGAAAATATGAAATCTTTAATATGAAAGTCAGAGACGTTTAGGCATCCGCTGTGTGCTCGCACATCCTTGATAACTATTTTTATCCGGATGCGCCAAAGAGGAAAGTGCTTATTTTCGCTCACCATCAAATTGTCTTGGACACAGTCCAAGTCGAGGTGAATTCCTAGTTCATTTTCAGTCTGGTAAAGAGTTCAGTTGAATGTTCAGGTCCAAAAAAGGAACCTGAAATCGATTCGAATAGATGGACAGACGTCATCGAAAGATCGTGGAGTTTTGTGCCACGATTTTCAGGTAGCGCCAGAATTCAAGCCATGACTTTCCCATGAAAATTCATCTTTCCGCAACATATAGTATTGTTCAGGAAGATCCTGATGTGCAAGTCGCTATCCTGTCCATGACTGCAGCTGGCGTTGGAATAACACTTACGGCGGCATCCGTTGTTATATTTGCCGAACTGCATTGGAATCCTACAACACTGCAGCAGGTGAGTGGATTGATTGCAAGTTTTTTCTTTGAGACCTTAATACAATTACTTTGATCTTAAAACCCGCCTTCATCGTGTCTTTATGAGGATTATTTTGAACCTCTTTCCTAATGAATATTCAACTCGATCGGTCTAGAAGGCACTGTAGACGCAGTAAAATTGCCTGACTTTCGGCTCTAGTTCTTGCAACCGATTTCGGAAGGTGTACTAGTTTCAGGAGCTAGAGACCCGGGTAAAAGGAAGAAGCTCTTTCTGGAGCGGCACGTCACGCTAAACTAACAGCTCTGACGCGCCCACAGATCATTTCGGAATGGTAAGAGCTCCCAGGGATCGTAGTGAACCTCATACGACCATTTTCGATTATTTACTGCGTCCCTAGTTGAGCACTTTTTCAACAGCTTCCCTTTTCAGTTATCAAGCTTTTCATTGCGCAATTGTTTCATCTTTGGAACTGATTGAATTAATTGATTCAATTGTGTATAGCCTACCCTTATTAGAGCCCAATTGTTCCAGGTAGTGGTCGCTCGTCGTCGTGATACTGATTTTTCGTTAAGTAACGCTCCTGTTTCCTCCATTGACTGCCAGAGAGCCACCCCTTAAGAACTAGCGACGTACAGGGTAAAGAGGTTTTCTGCCAGCTCTGGATACAATTGCTTTCCTCCTGCACATTTGGGCGAAACGTCACGACTAAATTGCTCAGCTAAAGGCTTTACTAAAGGCCACCTTGACCTTTGGTCTTTTCTTTCTAACATCAGTCTCGCGCTGTCGCAGAGTTCACTGGCTGCAAGCTAACTTGATATTTTGGATAATTCTGTAGTAGTCGTTGTCGTATGTTGAGAAGAAATCTGTAGGTCTTTTAGGCAGAGGATCGTGCTCACCGCGTGGGGCAGAAAGACAGTGTTTTCGTACAGTATTTGGTTGCAAGGAATACCGCTGATGATGTTATTTGGCCCCTTATTCAGCACAAACTCGACGATCTCGGCAAGGTAGGTGTATTGTATTAATGCGGTCGATGAACTTCAACCGGAAAATTCTGAATCAATCCAAATTATCTGTACCAGGAATTTTTGGGGGGATTCAGTTTTGTAGCTCACCTGAGACATGAAAATTTCATTGGCGAGTTTATCAGCTGATTCACTGGATCTTTTTTTGGCTGTGGCCTGATTTCTTTGGGAGCCCTCTAGCAATATGTACTGAACCCATAAGCAGCATGTTATAGCTATGTTGAAGTTTTCGTTTTTGGCTCATTGCTGGCACACATGGTGTTTCTCAGAGAGTTTCCATTGTTGTGCACCAACGCGACGTAGTTGACACCATGTTACATAGATCTATGGAGCAATCCCACAAACAAGAACACGTCTGCGTGCTAATCAAGTGGTTGCCTGGCGTTTATAAGTGAACACTATCTGTTAACCTTCTCTTTAAGAGCTGCACCTTTCGCCTGAAGAAATCAAGAATTTCAAGAGAAAATGAGACCTCCACCGTAAAGGCGCTTTCACCGTATCTCGGAGCTGGCCTGAATGTTCGAAAACTTGAAGGCTTCAATAACATTTTGGGAAACTAATATTTGTATTGGGAAACTGGGAAACTAATATTTGTACGAAATTGAAGGATCAGGTTCTTGTTGGTCTTTTATGGGATGTGACAACACACGAGAGTTCCTAATGTCGTTTGAAGGGGCATTTGTTCCGTTGTGTTTTCTTGTTTTTAAGATCGAAGGAACAAGTAGATGACAAAAAGTATTTGATCCTCAAAAAAGAGTACGGTGCTGCTGACTAATCATGAGAAAGCGAAAGGCTTGATTGGCGCGAGCAGGTCAAACCTCACCCATACCTAAAATGGCGATGCCACTTCGCGCTACCACCTACCTGAGTCCTCCCAGGAGGATACTGAAAAATAATCAAAGTGGTTTAGAAGCAATACCTCTTCAAGAATTATTGTGAGCGCTAAAGCTAGTACAGTTTTGATTTCAGGTGAATTTATCGGGTGAAACGTTCCTTTCTGCAAAGAGGACCCATATGAAGTACGAAATGAATGTTCCGCAACCAAAAGGAATCACTGATTTCTTCCCGGCAGAAGATGAAGCTCAAAATAGTTCGAAAAAAGCAAAATGGGACCAATGAAGTTACCAAGAGCTTCATCTGCGATGATTTTTTTCGTAGAGTACGTTGGTTTGAGTAGGTGCGTTCGCGCTTAACAAAACGGGATAGTTTATACTCACCGGTTATGTTTTACTCATTTGTAAACATTCATTTTCTCATTGTTTGCAAGACATTGCTTAATTTACTCTGTACATCACATTCTGCATGTTTAAAAATTAAGAGTATTTTATTTGTTCCGAGTAAAATGTAAATATACATATTTCTAATGCTCACTGGTGGTCACGTACAAGTTGTAAGATTGTTCTAGATATATCCTCATACTCTTCCAGTCCGTCTTCTCCAGCACGTAGTCCATTTCTGAGCATAACCATGATGACCTAAATTCTGATCATGCGTTGATCTTCATTCCGATTGAAGAAACTGGAAACAACTTGACGAAATTGTTGGTCTAATCAGGAAGCCCTCCACATCCACTATAATATTTCGCATAGCTACAGTCGTTTCGAAGTTGTACAAAATCTTCTCTAACCAGTTTTCTTCAAGTTGTTTCTCGGTACTTCCCGCATCAAACGAGATATCAGGCTCCCTATACCTTGTCTATTTAACCCTATGATGGTGCCGAACTGTGTCCTCATATTCGACACGTATACCTGAAAGAGTTCAAATCCGGCCCCTGTGCTACTTAAGCGCATTAAAACATTTGCCAAGAACTCTGCTTTGGTACCTTTTTTAGGACCTTCTAGGCCCATGCTGTGCACGCCTCGCCCCAACGCTTTGAAGCAGGCAAACAAGATAGTTGAAGATGTGTCCTGTTGATATGATCCTTTATAACGTCCTTTACGGTATTTCTGTGAATGTTCCACAACATTTCAGGAAAAATTTGAACAGTTCTGGACGAAACTTCCCGAACACCCTAATATTCAAATACTTCGCTAAACCTGAGGTTCATATTATGACAGTCAGATCTGTGCCTACTCATTGCTCTGGAAAAATGTCAGATTGGTTCGAAAATGAAAGTTGACCAAGGATCCGTCGATGAAGAAATGTCGGAGTAGGTTCCTCAAACTTTTTAGTTTGGCTGTCTAGATCGGGTGCTTGTGCGTATTTCTTCACCGACTTTCTAGCAAATCAGGGTTTGGAAGGGATAACTGGAGGATCGACATGTACACACGTTCCTCAGGTGGTCCGTAGGCAGGTGAGTTAGGCTGTCGAAAAAACGATAAGAACCGGTGTTCTTCTTTCATTCGGATTTCTCCTTTTCGCTCCTCTGCATGGTTTCACAAGCTTGGACGTTACTTGATGGCAGCTTACGTGGTTCTAAGCGGAAGTATCAGGAAGAGCGTTTTCGAAGAGCGATAGGGATAACTGGAGGGTGTGAACTGTCTACTTTATTGGTACCATCCTGAAGATGTTCGACGAGGCGGTTGTATTGCCCATCGATACTGTTGGTTAAGGACCTTGTCTCATAAACTTGCAAGGAAAACTAAGTGGTTTTGGGGCTTCGGTTTTGTGACTGACCTGACCCTATGTATTTTACTAGGACCACTTGTGTAAAGGAGACACGTTCGAGCACTGAATATCTGAGTCACCCATCTTGGCTTGAACTATTTTGGGGTGTAGCAGCGCTTCTGACCGGAATCGGGTGAAGAACATGTACTCAATCGCGTAGTGGAGCTCTTACTTACAGCCAGGTAAGCTCGAAGTCAAAAGTCATGAAGGAGGTTCTTGAAATTGAAAGGTGCAACGTCGAGAGCAAGTAGCAACATCAAGACCCATTCATGAGCATTGGTATATTCATACATAATTTTGTAGCAGTTGTCTAAGATTCGCATTTTTGTCCTTGGCAATGACTTTAAGGGAAGAGAAATCTCCTCTGTGGAAGCTTGTAATTTTCAATTGCTACTCTTTAAGTCCGTCGTCGTATGAAGAGCTAATAGGAAAAAGGCCTAATGGGTCGACATTTTTCCAACCGTAGTCGCTCGATTCACACCTGCTGAGCTTTATAGAGAGGTGGAGAAATTCCGGTAACTCCATGGACTTCACTACCCTTCATTGAACCTACCCAGCCATTAATTACACGGAAGAATCGTCTATTTTTTTTTTAGTTCTCTCACCTCGTCTTTCACGTCCATCTCCACGACTTGAAGACCATTTCCGATAACTCTGATTACCCAGTCCTGAAATTTGAGACGATCAATGGTTTAAAAAAACCCCTTAAAATATGAAACTACGCACCTCTTTCCTGACGGGATGGTGAGCGTAAATGAAGCCGTGACCAAAAGATTTCTCTTCAGCTAAAACGATATCCTCCTCAGTTGCTGTAGGTTCGCTGAGAATCTTCCATATACTGTCGGATATCAAATTCTTCTAAATAGCAAAAGTAGGGTTTGATTCTGGACGAGAATTCCGTGCAATATTCGAGATCAAATCGGATCTAACAAACATATACCCTACCTTGAATACTTGGTGAATGGCTTGTGCAAAGCCGAGTGCCGTTCCGATACCCATGCAGCTCACTATAGGCAAAGCTCTAACTGCTGGGTCGTTGTACGGAATCGAATCCTCACATGAAACACAAGCTTTTCTTTAGTGATAAACCTACAACCTGAACTGTCTATGAAATTCAAAACCAAGCATTATTGGTCATGAACAAACTTTATTATCGGGACCTAAAGGCATAGTTCACGACATAATTTTTTCTGAGATTTCTTCCAGGATGATCCTGTGATCTCCAAGATTAGCCTAAGGGACGCTATCGGGTCGAAAACAGTCGAAATAGGACGTGATAAGGGCTCCTATTGGCTTAGCCGGCGTACATACTCAAGGCGGACTAATTCTCAAAGGAACAGCTCACGATAAAAACTATTATTAAAACTCCCCCTATAATTACCCAGAGGCCCTCAAGGGTAACACACAGAACGCTACTGGGTCGAAAAACTCATCAGATAATGCACGATAAGAGCCCCAATACCGGGTTTATCGGAGTCTACGCCCAAGGCGGACGAGTTGTTAAGCGTTGTAAAAGGTGTAGAGGTTGCAGCATTGGCGCAGTGACTCACATCTTGAAGGCAGACAGCGTAAGCAGCCAGCTGCATGCAATGGCGCCCACATTCGAACAGCTCGTCCGAATACACCTTCCATACAATTTCTCTCGACACATTGTCGTCTAACCCCTGATTTGGCTTCATTTTTAAAGCCTTATAAATCTCTAAACATGCCAGCTTTCGCGTTTTCTCCACCACCTTTGCACTATTCTGGACAGTCACTTCCATTACTTGTCTAAAATTGCGTACCCCAGAATTATCGTGAACTATGCCTGTACCTACTTTGACTGATATTCAGGAGTACGCAACACAGCAAACGTATAAACTCGTAGTGAATTCATTTGAAGAACTCCTAACAGTAGTCCGGGATCACCGATCGGTTTCATCGCTATATTCTGTGATTTAGACGAGATGACTCCCTCCTCCCCCTCCCTCTTAGCACTTTGGGCACGCTCCAAAGTAAGGCTACTCCATATCTAAGCCTAATGAGCAGTGTTCAGTGAGATATCCAACTTTGGAAAACCTCAGCTCCTAATTGACTTATAACGAAAGCGTAAGTTTATGTTCTCCAGGAAGTGGAGGGCACTTTGACCCCCCCCCCCCCCAATTATCGCTTGCACCATAGTAAACGAAGAAACTAGAATCGAAAAGTGTAACAGTTGAAGCGCTAAGGTTAGAGGCACAGCTCACGATAAAAATAGTTCCTGAGATTTCCTTGGAGAATGAATACGAGGCTTCCCTTATAGGGTATGTGCCGGTGTGAGATCGAAAAACGTCGTATATAGGGCACAATCAGGGGTTAGACAGTGTTGTATCGTGTGAATGCCACATCCCCTTGTTAGGCTGACATGAAATCTAATTGCCGTCCGGCACAGTGAGGCGTCTGAGAGATTAGCGCAACTTTCCATTTTTGTGTGATTGGAGAAATGATAAATGAAGGCGAATTTGAATATGCTCGAGGGGCTGCCATCAATGAAAACAGCTTGGCGTTACAAAATAGCTAGTTCCCTGGCTTAGGACCTTGGCTTCTCCCTCGGACCTTAACCCTGTTCCCCCAGCTGGTAAACGATTTTTTTTCTGTATGGATTCAAACGATGACGATGACAGAGTAATCAAAAAATAAACCGCTCTTATTTATAGGATTATAGGGCAGTTGGTAGTTGAAAGGAAGGATACCGTGGTGTAATCTGGGTGGCCCTATTGGTCACATGTGCCATAGTAAATGAAGAAATCATGGCCCTAAGGTTGTGATTTTTCTTTCGATGTTGTCATTTTATTACTGGTACTGGAAGTACTTCAAAGATAAATTTTACCATTCTCATGATTCCTAGAAAATGTGGGTAGCTGGCAGACATCATATCCAGACCACCACGTGTGAAGTGACAAACGAAGGCGTTGAGAAACCGGAAAAAAAAATATATTTTACTAAAAGCTATGGCTGATAGTATCAGTGAAGGATGTCAAGGCCTCTCGTCCCTAACGTGATTCTCATCGGAAACCGTTCTTGATTGCCATCTTTTCAACGCTAAAATTGAATCCAGGCCCTTTCGTTGAAGACCTTTCAGAAGCCTGGCTATGAGGCGTTTCATCATGCACATTATCAATTGCATCCTGGAAACTCCAGCTTGTTCCCGTACAGCTCGTGAACGATGCTCATGTCGCTGAGCTGTGAGCATTTGCTTCACTACCATATGTTTGTATAGCAGCTAGACTCCAGATAAACGCCATGAGTTATAGCCAGAATAACAAGCGGTTCTCATTCTTAGACAAGATCGTTTGAGCGATCTCTAACTTCTCGTCTCGGCTCAAAAACAGGATGGTTAAACAGGATGAAGAAAAAAGAACTAGAAATTCTCTATTGCAACATCATCTGCATCAGTGCTTTTCATCGAAATATCGCTTTTCATTTCCTGGTCAGATGGTTCCTTGAAGATTATGTCAGAATGTTTGCTACATACCAATGAAGGTCCAGATTGTTTGGGAGCCTATCTTTAAAAGCTGAACTCTCGAACCTCAATTCAAGCTACTTAGCGAACTCAAGACCAGTACTGAAATCTGATCACAATCTTTGAGTACGTCGCCCTTCAGCGGAAGGGAAGGGACTGTTCCCAGTTAGCAGGTAAAACTTTAGCGTTTTGATTGCATGAAATCTCATGCGCTTGGGAGATAATTGCTTATTTCAAAGACTGTGAAGATCTTCTGTACTCCTGGTCGCGAGAAAGCGCTCACTGCATTTGTATTCTATCTGGATTTTGAGACGATCACCTATAAAGTTGTCCCAGCTCGATCCGCTGGCAAGCTATGGTAGTATCACAACATACAAAAAATGAAGTAAAAAGGGCACATTCTCAGGTTGGTGCTGATGTAATAAGAGTGCTGCTCCCCGCAATTCAGTGCCTGAAGTTCGGGAACCGCCCTTTGTTCTCATTTCATTCGTTCATGATGAAACTGGAGCAGCAATTAAATTTCCTAGCGACTAACGAGGAAGGATACTTACTTTAAGGGCTTTTTGATATGAGCAATGATTGATTGAAGGATTGATGGATTTGAAACGTGAGCGATTCGGTTCTGATTCAGATTTCCACTTCCAATGTAGAAATCAACGCCTGAATATGAACCTCCTCAAAATTCTGTCATTTGATTCTCATCTTCTCTAAATTGCTTGCTTTACCTTTTTCCCATATCTCTTCCTCATAAATCTGTGGAACACTGTAGCCTTTTGGATGCAGACGTCGAATCAGCTGATCAACAAGGAAACCATATGTCAATGCATGGTATCCGCGATGTTCTCCAGGAGTCCAGTGAGGAGTTGCCTGAAACAATTACCAATTTCTTCGAATTGGTGTCATTAGATGGTTTGTAAATAGGGCACGAATTTGCTTGACTCCGAAAAATTCCAAAAAAAAAAGCAAAAAAAGCTCCGAAAGAAATGACTGGTCGCGTTTTCTGAATGGGTGACCATCTTGCTGGGAGATGTGGCACAATGGGAGACAATATAATTTTGAAATTTTTCGATCTCTAAGCTCCATCCATTCTTGTTGTCATCCACATGCCCATGTTTTTTTTTTCGATGCCCTTGATTTTTATTATACTTTCATGGGTAAGCTTTCAGCATTTAAGGTAGTTTGAATAATAAGTCAATTAGTTATCAGCTGGACGAGTGGACCTATCTGCGTGGAGCTGAAACGGGAAAAGGGGCACCACACCTATCCTGCATTTTGTTGAGGAGATCCGAGTAGAAATCGTAGATGACTTCATTCATTGCCCTTCAAAACGCAAGTGTTCCATCAGGACGACCAAGGGATGTCATCTTGAACTTGCAGTCGGCAAAGTTCCGGTGGATTTTGCATAGGCTTTTCAAGGCCTCGTCGGCTTCGTCCATAACTACTGCTTTCCTCTCTTTTAGAGCTTCCTTTATCGCTTTTGTGCATAGCTTCGCAAGTTCGAACGCCAGTTGACGACTGTGGCTGTAGCTCCGCGATTCCATTCGGGAATGTTAGCTCGAGAATCTCCATGGAGAGACTTCAGAGAGACTGATAGACTCTCTGCTAACCTGCCATCACCGTGAATATGTTCATCGAGCCGGCTGTTTCTTCAAGGATGTCTCGTTGACGGAATCTTATCGAAACTTATTATGGGAATCCAGTGATCTCAACTAACCAACTAACTTAGGGCATTATAATACCCTCTATCTCGAACTGTTAATCTTGACATAACTTTTGACTATTATTATATGTATGCTTACTTCAGACTTTCCAAGATTTCAAGCTCTGAGCATTAGGTTTCGCCATGGGCCCTCGTCAGACCCTAGAAGTCGAAAAAAGGCCCTCGTCAGAGCTTGAAAGTCGAAAAAAATATTGAGATTGGTTCCCTTATTGAGGCAAACTAACCCAAGACAGTCTCTAGACTAGGAGATTCCACCCTCAACCCCGTATACAAGAAGCTTTCTGGCTTGGCCCTCGGACCTCATAGGCTATCCTCCTAACCCGGTATACAAGGTGCTTATTAATTGGAGGCGGCTCGTATCGCCTCCCAATTACTTCCCATTCACACATGCAATTTTTTCGCTAAGCAGGATGCAAGGTCAAACCCTCTAGCCACCTACACATGGATACATCTGTGAGAAGACGAGGCATAGATCAGCTCAGCACAGCAGCGACAGGGAGTCCATCTCTTAAAACCACCGACATCTCCGGGCACGTGCCCGCGACTTTTGGTCTGCTATTTACTTCTCTATCCGCGACCTGGGGTTGCGCCGCGTAGCCTCGTTACCAAAGGGCTAGAGGTTCTTCGATGATGAGTCCACTCAGTGGCTCATCAGTGGAGAAGACCCATTGATCGGTAGCGTTTGTTGAATTACTAAGTGGATAAATTAAAAAATTAATAGACCATTAATCAAAAAAGTAAAAATCAATTGTTAAGAAGGTAATGAACCTCGGAAATTCCCAAAACTGCGCCGAAACAATGAATGACGACTCACTCCTTCTATCAGCGCTGAAACAGCATCTGGATTCCGTGCTTCTTCTAATCCAAACTCTCGTCCGAAAGTGATCAGCCCAGCCTTAACTGGTTAGATTTATTGAAATGAGTATCGTACTCAAATTCAGAGACCAAGATCAGTCCCTAACAAATTAGATATGCAAACTCTTGATTTCTGATTGGAATAGCTGTCAATAAGTGTCACTGAATCGGTAGCACTTACACGATGATCTAAAATGTCTCGTATTGTCGTGTTGCCTTTGCCATTCTTAGCAAATCCGGGCCATAACGTGGATACCTTAAATTTAATACGTACATACGTGCAGTCAGCAAAATATCTCTTTAAGGTGGATCTTTCGTTAAAACAACTTGTGGGCCCACTAATGGTGCTGTTGCTGTTTGCGTCAGACGCCAAGGGCTGAGAAACTTGTATCGTTTCTTTACTTCTGTATAAGTCTTGAATGAGCCTCCGAGAATGATATTAACAGCTTTATTGGTGTCTAACGTTTTAGCTGAACCGCCTTTCCAAACCCTGTGACGTCAAAAGGATATTTGTGACCCACACAGCCTATTTTCAATCATGCCAAGATTAATCAAGGGTCGGTCATGGACGTTTTTTTGATCTCTTATCTGCTACCATCGCTCTTTCAACTGGTAGTCGTCATTATGAAGTTCCATATCTTCCATGTATGTAGCACAGTGACACTTCAAGAAATCTCTGATTCAGGTAACACTAAGCCCGAAGAGTAAGCTGTCAGAAGCGTGTATGAAGTAATCGGGATTGCTGTCATCAAGAAGGATCAAGGATGAAGTCTTTGGGCTTCAATCGCGTTCCAGAGATGCGCCCACACACTCGACTTCCACTCAAAATCATTGTTTCAAGTCAAATGCGTATGAAACCTCTACAATGGCTTGCGGTGGCCAGCTGATGTACAAGTCAGTGCGTTTTAACCTCCCCCCCCTATGTTTATGAGGCGATGTTTTACTCCCATTCTTCTTTCCTCTGTTTTTCTTTTTGCTGCCGCAATCCCTTATTTAATTTCCTACTCCTAGA